ACACTAACATTATAAGTGTTGTCAAAAATGGAGTGTCCAAAAATGACACCTTCTTTCTCCAGGTTGAGTTTTGTAGGAGTAATTTTTATTTCAATTATATCTGAAATTGGTAAAAGACTGGGATGTTATCATAAAGCTTTTTGAAATTGAGATTTATTCCAAAAATGCGTAATCTAGCTTGAGCTATTTATCAGTTGTTCTTTTTCAACTATATAATTCATGAACAAATATATGAATTTTAAAGTGCTCATTTTATAAGACAGATTAAAGATAAGTTTTATAAGACAGATTAGAAAGTATCTGGAGCCAACTCAACTAAGTATAAATTGTGATGCTGTTAGTATTGTTTATGCTCATCTCTTTAGAATATAAAAAAGGATATAGTAATTCAGAAGATAATTTTTCTTTTTCTATTTAAAATGGCTGAAGTTCAACAATTTTTATAACATACCATGTGATAGGCATATTCCTAATTATGGAACTTGTTTTTTTAGAAGGTGGGAACAATGCAGTCAAGAATCCACTCTATGCACTACAAAATTTAAAATAGTAAGCCATATGTCAAATGGAATGTGAAAATGTTGATGGAGGGACACCGATCAAGATGCATTGTAATCATAAACTGCTTTGTTAAATGTAACTTCTTTGTACAACTATTTAAAAATCATGAAAACAATCTAAATCACCCATCAGGATATATAATTCCATTTCAGGAATGAGAAATGGGGCAAAGAGAAATATTAGTTTTCCTAAAGAAACACATTTAGTAAGTCTCAAAGTGAGAAATGAACACAAGTAGTTTGCTGCTAAACTGGCAGGTTTTTTTCAAGCTACTGAACTCAAATTACATTCGTTGTTTGTATCAATATCAACATATTACTTTCCAAAAGAGTATTCACTGGGAATCTTTGATAGGTACGCAATGAGGAATCAAAGAAAAATGCTTCATCCAAAAGGCCAAAGGTCACAGTCATCAAGTAAAATATGCAAATTAGCAAGTCTGATAGATAAAGGTAATGTAAGGTAATGTAAACTTGCAAGTAGACAGAAATAAAACTTGAGAAAGCATTATTCATCTTGTTTCAAGCATTTGCTAATTTTGAATTAAGAAATTTTAAAAATATCAAAAAAAAAACTACAAGAATAAAAGCAGAGAAGTATGAAGGTACCTAGCCTAATGAATGAATTCATTTACAACAGGGCTCTCTAAACTTTAGCTGGGGATTAAAAAACAGCAACAACCAAAAAAATCTGGAACTAAATTTAAAAAAAAGAGAGAGAGAAAGAAGAGAGGAAGAAGAAGAGAGGAGGAGGAAACATTTTGCTCATGATGGTTGATTTCAATTTCACGGAGCTAAGTGATTACCAACAATATTTCTGTGTATGTCTGTGAAGAAGTTTCTGAAGATTTGGACTTGCACTGGTAGATTAAGGAAGAGCACCCTTCCCTATCTGAGGAGGCTTTGTCAAATCTTCTGAGAGTCAAAACACAACAAAAAGCTGGAGGAATGATTAATTTGCTTCTATTTTGAGTTGAGATATCATCATCTGTCCACACATATTCATGGAATTGCTGGTTCTCAGGCAATTGGAGTCAAATTGACTATTGCGCCATTAGTTTCCTTGGTTCTCAAGAGTCCGAGCTTAAACTGAATCATACTGCCAGATTTATTGTTTTACACAGAAGACCAGGCATCTTTCGGAGCCAGGTCCTACAAAAATCTGTCACAGAGAGAGAGAGAGAGAGAGAGAGAGAGAGAGAGAGGAGAGAGAAATAGACAGAGTTTCTTAATTGAGTTGTTCTGGAAAGCATGGACTACTGGTTGAAATAGTCTGGGAGAAGGAGAAAGAGTCTGCCTTTTCAAAATCTTTAAGTTGAGATGGGTTTGGCTGACCTTCAGATCCCATTATGAGTTGTAACACCTGACCAGTGATCTATAGTATATAGTCTTAGATTTTTCGTGTTGAAGTTGCCTACACTCATTGTTAAAATCCTAGATCCCCAGATTAATTAGATTAATAAGAGAGGAAAATATTAATTTTTAAACATATAATTCTCAAACTGACTAAGCTGAAAACCATGAAGGTTGCAAGGACAATAATAACAAGAAAGAGTCTAAAAATGACCTGAGCAAAATTATGAGTTAAGTGATCTTGAATCTTGTATTTAGAAATTTGAATTTTATGATATTGACAATAGGTGGTAATGCAAAGTTTTAAACAGAGCTGTGATATTATGCATTTATTTCTTACCTGGATCAATCTGTAAGAAATATAAAACTAGATGAGAGCTAATCTGTACAATTTGTCTAGAATTTTTTAGTGAAGTCTATAAAACATAATAAAGTATATGGCAGGTACTTAAGAACAGGTACTTAAGAACACGAACAAAAAGTGGTGATCTTTGGCAGAATCAAAAGATGAGAAGTGGATTCCAGGATAGCCCATGAGTACCCTGACTTTTCACTTGAAGGAATTTTCTGACATAGAGCACAAAATAAAAAGGCATTTTTACAAAGTGAAGGATTGAAAACAGAGCTCCAATATTTCAAAACCATTTTTTGTAGTTCAGGAGAACTGAGACGATAAAGCTGTATACAGAGCGGATTGTAGAAATCTACATAGGCATGAGTTAGGCAACATAGCATAAAGAAAAACTCTATTAAAACATACAAGGACTAGGAGATTAGGAGGTTTCAGATAGCTATAATAGACAAAAGCACTGAGTAGTTTGGACATTCGGGCAAAGCATCACAAAGCCATGTATTAAGGGAAAGAGCCAGGCTCAGATATGAGGAACACATCCTGGAATCAGAACTATGTCAAAAAGCTTTGTTGGGAATGACGTAGTTAGTCCTATCAGGAAAAGGTTGGGTTAACAACGAGGGTGAATGAGGATGAATATGTTTGAAGTAGATATCTGAATTATGGAAATAGAAAAATGAAATCTATTGAAATTAGTTTACAAAGGTGAGAGGGAGAGTGATAGGGTAAAAATTAATTACATACACTGTGTACATGAGTAAAAATGTCACAGTGAAATCTCTCTCCTGGTATAACTAATGTATGCTAATAAAAAGAAGTATGACAAGAAGGTAGGTTAAATACTAAGATATACCCATTCTAATTTTAAAGAAATCAAAACAAGGTCAACTAGAGCAAGCAGGTATAGCAAAAAAAAAAAAATGTTACTATATGCCAAAAGCAAAATAATAAAAGCAAAACAAATAAACCAAAAGACCACCATAGTGCCCTTTAAAAGAATATAACATGATGAATATTTTCAGTAGCACAAAATATATGTGCTTAATATATAATGAAAAGTCAATAAAGATAAAAAGAAGCAGGAAGTTTTGAAAGCATATTTAATAAAGCACTGAGGTAATTCAGTTGTAAATATAACAGAACTAGTATTTAAAGTAGTAATTCAAGTCCAAAAGCTTAAGGAAATATGAAGAATGAATGGAGGAACTTAACTGAATAAAAAAGGAAATTTTTAGTGTATTAGAAAAATCCCAAATCATGATTGTGATAATGGTTGTATGACAATAGACTATACATTTTCAAAAGTTATCAATTGAATAAAATTATAAATTTATTATGCAAATTGTATATTCCAATAAATTAAAAGCCTGTTTAAAACCATACAACACAGAGAAACAAAAATTATTAGACTGGGTTATACTTATGGTGTTACAAATCCTAAAAAAAAAAACAACAAAAGCAAAACATCTGCTCTTTTCTTACTAATGAGAGCAAAGAATGAGAGAAGAGAATACTATTGGTTAAAAAATAAAGTTATAAATAATGAGGCAGACCTAATTGAAAAGTCCAGTATTCAGAAGTTGGCCAATTAAAATATGTGATAGTTACTATTTTCATTTTGAGTATCATGAACAAGATTAACTTTAATTTCCATAAATTAAAAAAACAATGAAATATATATAAATAATTGCACTGGAAGCATCAAAATATTAAGTTTAAGAAGTATAAGTATAGAATGAGATATTCTATCAGAAGAAAGGAAATTACAGAAACATGTATTATAGACTATTTTCACTAATTCTGGATTAGATTCTAAGCCTGAAGGAAATGATAAAACACATTTGAATCAGTAATCTTCTGAATTTGTGATACTATATGAGTAGTGTCACATTACCATTAACAATGCCACATTGATATTAAATTTAATGATTTTTAATTACATTGAAGTTAATTTCTTTGTTTTTGGAAATAAAAATTAAAGTAGCTAGTGGAAAAAATTGCATGCTTTCAGTATTCTACTCTCAAGTGGCTCATGAAAATGAAATATTAATGTGAACAAAATGAAAACAAATGTGAAAAAAATGTAAACCACTAGTGACAACATAACATGTATACATGAGTTTCATGTAATAATATTTTTTTAAAAACCTAGAAATTAATGGGAGTTAAAACTGTGATCCTCAGATCTCAGCTTCTTGAGTAGCTAGGATTACAGGCATGAGTGACTGGTACCAAGCTTTATCTGATCTACTTTAATTTTGATGCTAACATTTGGCATTGAGATTTGGTCAGAACTGCAGTCCAATGAAAGGACACAACAGAAGTAAAGGTGAAAGGAGGATGCTAAAGAAATCTCTAAAGATTCTTTATAAGGAAAATTTTCCAAAAAGAAATAGTTTCGATTCTATTCAAATACAACCTAGTGAAGGAAGTAAACAGCCTGGTCTTACATCATGGGTAATCAGTGACTAACAATGTAAACTTGAAGGTAAAAACTGTATTTAATCCCAGGGTTCTTGTGAGGATTGAATGAGTTAATGACAAAAAAAACCTTAAAGGTACTATATGACTTGTATATAGATAATATTTGTCCAATAAATTAAAATGTAATGACTCTGGTCATCCCAAAATTTTTCCTTGATTTCTTATTTCCTAGCAACCCCACAAAATAGGAAGCCTAAGGTTACACCCCATCCTTGGCTTTAACAGTACTTATCAGAATAAAAATGTCATACCTTGTAAACTGCCAGGTGCAATGCTGTAAATCCATTTCTTGTCAGCCGGGATGGGCAGAGCCCTTTTAACATAAGGCTTCGAATATGTGACTTATTGCCTTAGAGAGAAAAATAAAGCCTAAATCATTTTGAGAGTAAACTAAGTGACCTTTAAATCTTTCTTGGACTTAATGATAAATGTTATTTGGACATATGAAAATCAGAACATGTCCAGGTGTTGTGCATTCATAGAGTATTAGGTAAGATTTTTTTCATTAATTGCTAACTATACTTAAAAGTGAACTTTTTTTTTGTCGGTCATGGGAGCTGAACACTGGGCCTGGACATTGTCCCTCAGCTCTTAAGCTCAAGGCTAGTACCCTGCCACTTGAGCCACAGTGCCACTTCTGGCTTTTTTCTGCTTATATGGTACTGAGGAATCAAACTCAGGGCCTCATGCATGCAAGGCAAGCACTCTACCACTGAGCCAACTTCTCAGCCCAAAATGATCATTCTTATTATATTTATAAAACTTTGATAATGCTATATATTTCAGTGACTTTGTATTATTATATTTTGTTTTCTCGTGACTAATGTTTCGAAACAAAATCTAAATTGTTTCGTTCTAATAAATTATTAGTAAAAAAATTCAAATGAAAATCTAGTTGTAGAGATTTTTCTTCGAGCATTATTAGTAGTGGACTTATTTAGATGAAGAGACTATGGAGGGCTAAGTTTAGGTGTTGTGTTTTTATCTTTATTTTTAATATTTTATTTTATTGTGAAGGTCATGTACAGAGGGGTTACAGTTACATAAGTAAAGTAATATGTACATTCCTTGTCAAACAGTGTTACTCCCTCCCATGTTTTCTCCCACTTTTCTTCCCCCTGACACTCCCCTCCCACCAAGTTGTAAAGTTCACAACATAGTTGTTGGATTTAAATGGGAATAATCTATTAAGTCAAGTTGTTTTATGTGTTTGGGATGGCAAAATTAAATAAGGATACTGGGTTTAAGTGGAGCCATCCTGGACATGCGGTGGATGGTAGCAAATTGGTTTTTATTGGTGCCATCTTGTCTTCATGGTGGAGGAAGGTAAAATCCCACCTCCCACTCCCAGGTGATTAGCATGCCTAAATTCCTAGAGGCAGGGGTGGGGATTGGACAATAGATTATTGACCTACCAGTCTTGGGTCATGAGTTCTCAAGCTCTCTGTGACCCTGCTCCTCACCAGGACTCTACTTAGGACTTGATCAGCTCAATCCAGATTATACCATGCCTCATGTCTCCTAGCTCTCCTCCTGCCACATGGTGTCTCAATTCAGCTCTCCATTGGTGTGGATCTGGTTTGTTGGTATTGTTTTACTGCTCTTTCTTTCCTTTCTTCTCAGGACTCAGTTTTCCAACTGTGCTAAGGTGGCTGCAAGTCTTTGTGACAAGAGTCCACCTGCAGTCGCCGACTCTCCAATAAAGACTCCCAATTCGACCTCACAAAATGTGGCTTCTCTGTTTCTCACCAATCAAGTTCACATACAACAGAAGGAACATGATGAGAGCTGGTAATCATTACAGATCTATTAAAAAATTTTAAAGCTGAAATCAGCTTGATTAATAAAATACTGTATTCACTTGCTAATTTAATAAATAGGTAATATGTTAGAAGCTATTCAAGGCACTTGTGATAAATCAAAATTCAAGGCAAGTTAAACTCATAATCATCATTTTGATCTCAACTTTCAGACTATATATTTGGTGTTTATTATTTTTCTTATTACTTCTTACTGCTTCTTCTTAAGAACTGCTTGGTGATATTTTGATAGTGCTTTAAATACTTCTGAATTTAACCTATTCTTTACTGGCATGACAGATACAGAAAAAAGCTTTCTGATTTACAAGGAACTAAGTGACTTGTTTTAGAGGAGGAACAAAAGAAAACAAATTGAGAGCCAAGTTGAATGGAATATCTTCCTCATAGTTAATGCTTTCAGTGAACTTTATCAGGTTTGGTCAAGGCAAAGAACAGAAAATTGAGTATGAATAGCATTTCCTTATAGACATCTAAGTAGCTGAAATCACTGATCATCCACACAGACACACACAGACACAGACGGACAGACAGACAGACACACACACACAGTAAAAAGGTTTCAAGTTTCACATACCTCCACAAATGCAACACAAATGTAAGAGAGTTAATCCATTTTCAGTGCGATAATTCAAGTTGACTTTATTGAAGGCATCCTCAGAGCTGGAAAAACATGTTACACATGATCACAAAATTTGTCTTTTAAGTACATTATGCTTCATTTAAGAATTATAAAAAGGAGTCAGGTGCTAGTGGCTCACAACAGTATTCTTAGATACTGAGGAGGCTGGAATCTAAGGATTGAGGTTCAAAGCCAGCCTGGGCAGAAAAGTCCATGTGACGTTGGCCTCCACTTAACTCTTTTCTCTAATTAACCATCAGAAAACCAGAAGTGGTGTTACGGCTCAAAAGTGGTAGAACGCTAGCCTTGAGCAAAAGAACTCAGGTACAGTTCCTAGTTCAAGTCCCACGATTGACAAAATTTTTTTTAAAAATAATACATACATATGAATCTTGTTATTACAAATTTAATACATCTCCTTACAGTTCCTTTTTTTTTTTTTTTTTGGCAGTCATGGGGTTGAACTCTGGGTCTGGGTGTTGGTCTTCAACTCTTCAGCTCAAGGACAGCACTCTATTACTTGAGCCACAGCACCACTTCTGGTTTTCTGGTGGTTAACTGGAGATAAGAGTCTCAGGAACTTTCCTGCCTGGTCTGGCTTCAAAACATGATCCTCAGATCTCAGCCCCCTGAGTAGCTAGAATTACAGTAGACACCAGTGCCCAGCTACAATTCCTTAGTTCCTAGAAATGCATTTTGAATCATTCCATATTGAATTAAGTAGGTCAGGTCTGGCCAGCGTCATATTGGCCACATGCTGGATGGTAGGGTCTAGCATCTTGTCTTCATGCTAGGGGAGGGAAATGCCCCTGTCCATCATCTGCCAGGGCATGCCAGGGCATGACAGGAACCCTGGAGACAGGGGTGGGTACTTGGCTGATAGGCTACTGAATCTGTCAGTCCAGTGCTTGGGACTGGGAATTTCCTGTGGATCTGTCCCCTGTTATTTAGGCCTGGACCAACCCAGCCTCCATTACGCCATGACACATGTGTCTCCATGATCATCTCCTGTGTCCTGTCTCCCGGTTCATTTCTAATCATCATGGCATCCCAATTCAGCTCTCCAGCAGAGCTGAACTGGCTTTGTTGGTGTTGTTTTTGTTTTTTCCTTCTCTCTAGCCTGTTTCATAGCTGTGTTATGTGTATTTAGGGGCTGCCTGTAGCTTGCTAATTGTATAATAAAGACTCCAATATTCCATATTCTAAAATGTGGCTTCTAGGATGATTGACCTTGTAACAGTATAACGAATTAAAATTGAGTAAATTGATATTAAAATTTCAAGAGGTCAGGTTTAAAGACTCCAGCACACATCTGTGTTCTAAATATGATTTGAATTTTCCAAAGTATCTGGATAATAAAACAATTCTGTACAAAAAGAAAAACACAGACATCTGAAAGTAAACTCACTTCTCTAACAACCAAATTTTGACATTATATTTGTAGACATATTAGTACAACCTTAAAAGGAAGGGATGAAGAAAAAGATTGAAAGAGAATGTAAATTTCATTTGCTAAGAAATTGCAGAAAGAAATAAAATCCAAATATATTGCAATTTCTACCAGCAGCAAAGTTTTTCTTATACTTTTATTGGGTTAGATTGTACAGATAAAGAAAAGTCTGAACACTGGTTAGCCACTGTGAAACAGATGCAGGTGAGAAGAGGAATGATTGGTGTAATGAATCCTTCCCTTTGTCTGAACAAAGATGATCGCCCCAGGAGGGACCAGTAGAGCCCCAGGTAGCTTTTCACAAGGAATGTAAAGCAAAAATTCTTGACCTCTTGAGGTCTTTGGTACTTCCAGCACATTTTCAGTAGGATTGTGATCTTATCAGTGGCCTCCAGGGTCAATTTCCAGTTGTCTCCTGCCTATTTAAATCTCAGCAGCTTTAGAGAGATATAGCATAGTCTTTGGTACATGAGTCAGGAGTCATACCATTTCTAAGTACTTATACTTGAAAAGTTCCCTAAATTCAGAACATTAGCATCAAGGCATCCAGTGAAGAACCTCAAAAGCTTTTGGAATTTTAAAATAGTAAAAGAAAAAGTGCTAATTTCCAGGGTTCTGATAAAAAGAGAAAAACTAAACTAAACTAAACTAAACTAAAACTAAATCTAGGCACATCGAAGAGCCACAGAGCAATGGAAAACTCCAAGGTTTGTTTTCATAGACATGGAGAATATTACTATACTAAACAAAGTCCTCTATGTTGCCCACATTAGAACTAAACTCAGTTCACCGATAAGGCCTGTGGTTATGACTTTGAATAGCCCTACTCTTCTGTCGAACTGGACTCTGCTCTTTTCTGCTATGGAGACTTTTACTCAACATTTGTATGAAATCAGTGTCCAAACATGAAAAGGGGAAGAATCAGCAACTGAGCTGCTTTGGCATTTCTCTTTGGTCTTTCTATTATCCAACCAATGAAATATATATATATATATATATATATATATATATATATATATATATATCTCAAGACAGAAAACAAAATGTTAGGATGGAGAAGGAGACCTTTCAATGTAAAGAACTATTATAACCAACCTGCAGCAGCCTAAGAGAAAAACAGGGCAAATGGCAAATACTAAAAGAAGAAAGTGCTCTGGAAATCCTGTGTAATAACAAATAAGTACAACAACAAATGTCTTGAAAATGTTTTTCCAATACACGTTATGGCTTGATGTTTTCAAAGTGGGGAAAAAACAAACAAACAAAAAGCACCTCAGTAGTACAGGCAATCCTTTAAAGCTTAGTTTTCATGGTTACTTTGGGATTTACATTTTGATTCTGCCTTTTAATTAGTTTTTCTTTTTTTCTTTTTCAACTTAGTAAGTTAATTTATCTCTTAAAAAACCCTCAATTTCTTCAGCTATAAAATGGGTAACATTTATATAAAATAATAGTGTATTGTGATAAATAAAGGTTAATTACTTTTGCATAACCTAGTACATAATATGTGATCAAAAATTGTTATTGTATTCTTATGGCTATTATTAGTGAAGTTGCTGTAAATATAAAACTTTCTTTGAAAATATGTGTGAGAGAATTTTAGCATGGTTTTCAAGCCAGTTTCATCCTTTTTGAGTCTTCACATCTGACAGTTTGAAATTTGTCTTAATTTTCATAATTCTATAATAAAAAATATCCTAAGCCTACAATGAGTCATGCATCTTAAAAATAGCTTTGACCTAGACTGCATATTTGTAAAAAGAGATAGCAAGTTCACTATTACAACACCTAGGACTTGACAGTAATTTGGAAACAACTACTGGAAACAGTTCTGTAAAGCACTAATAGATTCATAAGTAAATTCAACCCTAGAGCTATGCAAAGAACACAAAATCCAGAGTGGAAATGAAAAGAGGGTGACATAAAAATTACTTTACAGGAGAAAGTGAATGGAATTACTTTTATTCCACGATCTAGCTCTATGTCTATGTCTATGTCTATCCTTAATGTCTCTCATATCAATTATTAATCACCCACTAATTTGCCCATCTGAACCCATAATGGTCAAGTCAGACGGTTTTCAAGCCTCCTAAATACATTACTCACAACTTTCCAGATCCTTTAAATGTATTAGTTCTGGGAATACATATATATTAGACGGAATTGGACAACATTTGTAGCATCCAATAAATAACACTATGAGATTTGCAAACAAATACACTGAATGAATAAGAAATCTAAGGTGCTAAAGTCCATGTCTTTGTTACAATGCCCCATTAAATAAATGTCCATTGTTTACATAAACAAGACAAAGAATCATTAGGAACATTTTATTTAATAATTTATTCATTCATTGTATCTTGAACTAGACTTGATCCATCTATAAAGTATGAAGTCCTACAGCACCTTGCTTAAAATTGACCTGCTGCTTGATGGTTTTATTCTCTACTTGAATTTGATCCCCATGAAATTATGCAAATTTTAGTAATGTCAACAAGATAAATCAACAAATAATATACTTTAAAAATATTTATAAATCAAGTATAATTTTAGTACCATCAATTTTTGCTTTATAACTTTATTAACTAGAATGTAAAATTTTAATAAGTTACTTCCTAAATTTAAATCTCAGATCTCATCAAATTCTAGTCAAATGTTTCTGTTTTGATAAATGTAATTAAATTATTCCAGGTTTTAAAGCAATCTAGAAAAGAAATTTCATTTTCTTTTCAGTAGAAAAATAGGGGTGTATATAAATTCACTCCCAATTGAACATCACTTGTGAATTCTAATAACCTAGACTCAATTTATTTTTTAATTTCCCCTTACATTTTTTATTACCTGCCATGCCATACACTAACTTAACATATCCTAATGAGTTCATAGTGCTTGCTGGGGCATAGAAGAAATTCTTAATTAAAATGAAATAACTATTATGAATATATTTCTAACATAAATTCTGTCCTTAATGATTAAAAATTGTAGTTTTGTATCCAAAGGTTACTTTCTTTCCTGTAGCATAATAAACTCGTTTTCTTAGCCTTCACCTTTTACCCAGAAATGTATGCAGTTTTGTGATCCAATTAAACTTCATCCCCATTACCTCATCTTTTCAAAAGACATTTGACATGAGAATTATTGCAATGTACATTTGAATAGCTGGCTGAAAAATAATACCTTACTGTATAAAATATATAGAATCTCAAATATTTCTACTATTAGCTCATTGGCTGAAATGTATGAAAAGTCCAAGAAAAGTAGAATTCAAATAACTGATAATGTTTTTTAGAGTTTTCCACAAAACAATAGAAACAGAATAATCAGTTGTACTCACAAAATGTATTATTACCAAGAAATATACTGAAACATTTTTTCAGTATCTCACATTTCAAATTTGCAAATATATATATATATATTTATTTATTCCCCATACTTATTGTGAACACTTTCCCATGAAACTGCATTCATGAAACAACTTCAAAGTGCAACATTATTACTGACCAATGTGTATATATATATAGATACAATGTGTAAATATATTGGATATATATATATATCCAATGGTAACACGTATGAAAAAAATGATTAGTT